GCCTCAGATAACAGGTTTACTGGTACTTCATAGTATAACCGAATCACAAGCCAAATGCAAAATTCGTGTTGATGCTAACTACGGAATATACATTTCCTTTTCCTCGGGAGAATAAAATCCGCGGCAAAACTTGAGTACCGGAAGAACTAATATCCTACTTTGGAATTCTCTCGCTTTAGGAAGAAGAATATATATTTTTGGACTTTGTCCATTATGGCATTCGTGCCTTCTTTTTATTAAATTAATCACCTTTTGCTCATTTCTTTTATTTCATGTGATTTGAAAATGTCTTAGTTTAATTTAACATTCCTATAATATCATTAATTTATTCTAAGTTATAAAATACCAAAATTATTGCCTATGTTTGTAGCCTCTAAATATCATATCTGCAAACATAACAAAGCCATTTAACAGTAGTAGTAATTACTTCATGTGAAATTTTTCGTAATCTAATGTAACAATCGTGAGTTATGTACACATTTACATAATTTGTATAAAATATTTACATTAATCGCATAATTGAGAATATAATAGTTATCAGTATATACAAATACATTTTTTACTACTCTGCGGTCCTTTGTTTTCTATTTGAGGAATCTAAGAGAGTTATATGGAGATCTGTTTCATGAAGTGAACTTTGTACTATACTGATCAGCCTCTTAAACAAAGCTAGCTAACAAGATGCTCCAAAATAATGTTCACACTTTTTGAAAATTAAAAAAAAAAAAAAAAAGCTAATAAGAGAAAATACGGATTTTTTATTTTGTGTCACACATGTTAGTGAGGTCTAAAATAGCCACCATTCACCATTGGCGACAACATTTATGTAGCCTACGCTGTAGAACAACAGATCGATAAACTACGGATGTGATTTCCATGAGGCAGGAAATACAGTTTGTCTCAATGTCATGTCTCCTGTCATCCAGTGTCGATGGTTTTTCTATGGGATTTTGTGAAAGTCTGTAATACCGTTACTGCAGTTCCTTAGTTCATTGTTTGTTCTACACCTGCCACATCCTCGTCAAAGACATTTTTTATTAATCGATACTGCATGATCTTACCATTTTACGGTGAAAAAGTATTAAATTCTATCCTGCACCGTTTGTGCACCTCAGACACTTTTGCAGTAAAAAATTCTCAAAAGTTTAAAAATATGTATATTATTATTAGATTATTATTATTATTCATTTTTGTGGTCAAATAATAATTTTATTTTTATTTAAAAATTTTTAAAAGCTGCAAAGGAAGGATTAGAAGGTGATGATGGACCTCCTGGTCTTCCTGGACGCCCTGGGCTATCGGGTTTGAAAGGAGAGCCTGGGGAACCGGGAAGAGCTGGATTTTCTGGAAGGAAAGGTGACAGAGGGTTTTCCTATCCTGGAAGGCCAGGAGAGAAAGGCAACAGAGGTGCATCTGGACCACCCGGTATGTTCATCGCATTTCAGTTCATAATATCATTTTATTAGAAATTTCAACAATTTTATAAATTCTTAATGGCATCCATATGTATGGTTCGTAAAATGGACTTGATTCCCTTAGGTAATCCTCCAAAAATCCTTAACTGTTTCTTACCCATACTATATAGAAAACGAGGTATTTAGTTTTCAAGTAATCTTGAACAATGTGAAAGGCTGCATAGTAATATTCTAGTCATCTCGATCGTTCGATTCGATGCCTCCAAATTTACGTCTATAAGAAATACTAGCATTTTAAATATTAGCTTAAAATAGCAGTTTATGCAATCCAAAATGATGAGATAGTAGTACGAAGGGGAAGGGCCGAAAGACTACGACAGTGGATACTGATGAGCATCCACCTAAACAGACCACCTGAAACAGCCTTTTCTAGACTATGTGAAGTAACTTAGACAATGTGTGGCGCTTCGCTTTAGTCAACCAACAAATTCCCCACTTACGGTGAAAGTAGAGGAGGAAGGATTGGTACACACAATCGTGAGCAATAGTTTAATTAATTGAAAGTAGTCTACTGTAAATGATTTTATTTAAAAATACTTATACGTAAAATTTAATAGAAACAATTAATATTATAAAAATAAAAAATAGTGGAGATTTATTTCACCAAATCGAATATGCGTATGCTGATGTGTACTAGAGTGGAATTTGCATACCTCCTCGCCGCAGACTGGGGTATTAAATGCGATACATCTGTTTTTATATTAGGGTCTGTCTCCGTGAAAATATAATTATGTAATAGTCTGATCAAGTAGAAAATATTTACAAAGCATACAAGTAGAAATTTACTTATTGGTTTCATTTTTCGAGACATGACGTCCATATAACTTCATTGCCATTCATGTGAATTTCATTAACATCTGCATAAGCCACCTTCAAGAAATAAAACTAATTGGTACTAACATTATTAATATTAAACGTTTGTGCAACTAGGCATTGGAGGTCTGGAAGGTGCAAGAGGAGAGCAAGGAGATATTGGATATCCAGGACCCCGCGGGTTGCCAGGTGAAAGAGGTTTACCAGGCTTTGCAACTCCAGGACCGGCAGGACCACCTGGTAAACCAGTAAGTATCACACCAGTAATTTTTTCCATGTGTATAAACTGTGGACATAAGGCCTTCATTCTTGCTTTTCATCCTTTGTGGTTTAATGCTTATGCTTCAGTTTGTTTGTAGATGCATTGCCCAGTTTTATTCCTCTCGCGTATTCCAACATTCTCTTTTAGTATGGAAACTCTCTCAGTCATGAACTTTAAATTTTTCTGAAAAAGGTATGCATATGAACCTACTGATCTAGAAATATATAACAGTAAAATATTAATTTTTAATATTCTATAGGTAATTCAAAATATAATTAGAGAGAATAAGGAGTTTTGGATAGTCTAATAAAATTTGGCGAAATTTTAAAATTTTGTGTAATCTCCAAAACAGCGTTGCATCGCTAAAAAAGAATCAAAAGAATTTTTTTTTTTTTTCTGTCAACAGAAGCAAAGGTCAAATTCGTCATCTTTTATGTACCCCCTTTCCCCACAGTAATCGCATTACTTCGAAAAAACACTCGCATAATGTTTCACCATATAAAACATTTATTGTCTGTCGTGTTTGAGATTTTGTAAGACTATTACTGGCTTCTACATTAGTATGTAATTTACCAGTCCATCGTAAGGGTGTCTTTAACGGTATTTAAATATTATGCACAATCGCACAATAATCTCAATGGACGAAAAGAGAAATGTCGTAAGAGTGACAAAGTCAAGGAATGTTATGCACAGAATGAGATCTTGAAACTGATAATGCCGCCCTCTTTCGGCGTGAAAGTGAAATTATGATGGTACTTAGTTGAGGATATAATTCAGTTCAAAAAAGATTTTACATAACGTACATACATAATACGTTAAAACAAAGATATGATAATTTTACCGAATAATAGTTGAAACTCAAAATTCCCAGCATAAAGTACATAACTCCTGATCTTAAAGTTTCTAGAGAAGTTCTCTTCTACTGCGCTGTTAGGCCGCATGAAGATCTCACTTAGTACATGATAGTATGAGAAATGCTGAAAAAATGTGATATAGAATAAGCCAACTCGTGAGCATAATGGAAAATACATGGGATACATATGCAAAATTACCAATTCGCATTTTGGTGAATAGTTCTTGGTCTTTTGACCGTATTTTCGTTAGTTAGTTAATTCGTGTTATTGCAATATATCAAGAGTTCATCATTTACCGAAATCGTTGTACACCGTAGTGAGAATGTGATCCTGAAGAGTCCGGTGTGTATTTGGGAATCTCTCACGAATCAGGAAGCGTTAACTATAGTACGGAAAATTTTATTTTGTAGAACAACTAATTTTTTGCGAAAAATTTCCCACGCATTCGCCCATGCAGGAAATCCATATAAAAATATTGTGCGAATTAGCATAAGGTACGACTGCTTAATTCTGCAATTTAGCTTGAATTTTCTTCCCGTGAAATTACAAATTCCATCTGTTAAATTTTATCAACTTTTAACATGCTTAAAAATTATTCCTTTAGTTACAGGGTTTCTTAAACTTTTTTCAGTCGCGACCCCTTTTTATCACTGAGATTTTTTGGCGACCCCAGGACCCATAATATTTACACAAATTTTGTGTGACCCCATAAGTATTGTAATCGACACACGCGTGAGTGAACTGTCATTTTTCACCCTTCTGAATAACTCTTGCAGTTTTAGGTCATTAACTTTAATTTCTAATTTTAAGGCATAGAACAATGTGAAAATGTTAAATAAGTAACAGACGAAATGACAGCGTCGCCTGCAAAGCAAAGAAAACGAACGTTTATATTATAAAAAGAATGCGATAAACGTTTTCGTTTTTTACTTTGTCTGTATTGTCTTACCTTTATGTATTTTTAGATACATTGTGTAAAAATATTTGATAATTGCAAAATTATTATAATAATCAAAACTGCTAAAATTTTTGGCGACCCCTGCTGCAGGTTCCGCGACCCACAGTTAAAGAACCCCTGCCTTAGTAGGATAGGTGTTAAATTCACTTACCTCGTAACAGCTGCCACAGAAATTGTCGCTCTTCCTTTCCAAGTACATTGCTTTTAGTTTATGCTGAAATCCATGCACTCCAAACTCTGAAATATTTTTTTTTAAATTTTATTATTAACATATGAAATATATATCCGCAATTAACATTGACACATTAATCAATACAATTATTGCGTTTCGGATAAATACGAGGTCGGTCTGTCGTTTTCGGCTAGTATTAGATACGACACTCATGCAACTGAGTTCTATTATTTTTCCGCCATAGGACGTCAGCAGTGCGCTGCGTTACTTGTAGGCAAACACAGCAGCCCATCTGCTAGATTTTCCCCCCTTTTTTCTTTTCTTTTTTTTTTTTTTTTAATTCCTCTAATGGCGGGCCCTCAACCGACGCTACCTTTGCCTCATGTGAAGGGACGGACTGTTACAACCGTGCGTTCTCCGGGATTCGAACCTGGGCCCTTTGGTGTCGCAGTTGGTTCCCCTGACTGCTGCACCGTCTGGGCGGCTCTGCTAGATTTATATATGAATTTATTTATTTAAATCGAAAATAAGTTGTAAACATGAATTTAATTTATTCGGAATGAAATATTTATTGCAACACAGTGTACTTATTATAAAAATTAAAATATAAAAATCAACAAAACTTAAAATCATAAAACGAATGACAAAATTTGTCATTAAAAAACGCAATGACAAAATTTGTCATTAAAGAAACGCAATGACAAAATTTGTCATTTATGTCATTTTGTTGCTCAACCACAAAAGTTGTCTGTCATTTAAGAGCGGCAGATTAAATGTAAAACAGTATACCTAATTAATAAACTTCTGTAATAAAATTATTCTTTCAATTTATTTCTGGAATTTGTTAAAGGTACCATTCTGCAGATAAAAAAAAATCTTTTGAAAAAAATTAAATGAATATATTTTATATATTTTTCGTGGCGAATCCTGAAAGAAAATTTCCCTTTTGACTATTATATTTCTTTTTAATTTATTAACTTTCTTACATCTATAGGAAATTAGCAGTCGATTTTGTAGCGTTCTTTTTTTTGGGGGGGGGACGTAGACTCAACTGCAGTGAAACCTTATTTCGTGAACTTTATTCATTTCTGAAGATAATTTGTCTACCATCAAACCGAAATATTCATAAACCGAAACAGTGTTCCCTGTGTTCGAAATGTGAAAGGAATAATGATATAAGTTTAATAAAAAAAGAGATATTTATAAATATATACGAAACTCAAATAACATTGAGGAGCTAAAATTTTGAGACTAATTTTTAAAAAACTACTGGTGCGATTTTTACAAAACTTGGCAATTTGGCGTAATTTGAGTCGTAGAATAGAAATATTGAAAACAATTGGAATGTCATTTCAGAAAAAGTTCGATTTTGTGTCAAAATACCTGTATTATAATAATGCTGTATATAAATCTAATACATATCCTAAATCGTGCTTTCAAGACATTCAAAAACGCAATTTGAATTTCGTCAATCAGCCCAGTAGAACGGGAGATAAAGAACTGTCCTTTTTTTATTTATCGCGTGTACATCAACTGTCTTAAAATAAGAATACATATAAAAGATTTATTGTCAAAAATAAAGCATCAGCTTAAAATATATACAAAATAATTAACGCTATAGGAGATCTTTGTCAAGTAAAATGAATACATTATGGAATGAAAACAAAGTGAAAAAGAAGTAAATGTAAAAGAACAAGACTTAATTATGACTATAAAAGCTTAAGTTAGTTAGATTGGTTAATTAGACTGTTAGTACTGAAAACATTAATTTTTCTATGTTTTATATTTAAGCACTTCAATTTTTTTAAGAAGTGAATTTTAAACGATAATATGTATATAGTTCATGTATAATATGTACTTAGTTTAAGTACATTTAAATACATATTTTAGACTTTGTATTTATATTTAAGTTATGTATTGTGTTTATATTATATTATGAATTTATATTTATATTATGTCATTATGTGGTGTACACCTTGTTTTTATATACTATTTCCATACGAATGTTATTCGAAAACTATTGTATATGGAAAGGTTTTCTGCCAATATTTACATATATACCAAATTTATATAATAAACAGTTTCCGATTGTTCGCGATATAAAATTGCTGATGACTTCAGTGGGATTGTTTAATCTGCTATTCCCATTAAACTGTACGATAAATTATTTTTCTCCTTTTAGTGCATTATCATATCCATTTTAAATAAAAACTTGTAGTATATTAAATGTTTTTAATCATATTTTTTATAAAAGAGCTATTTAATAAAGAAAAACTGTGCATATACAATAAAATGTAAAAAACCATAGTTTAGACGCCACAGCTTTTAGTCAAAACAGTGTTGAAACATAGCAAACGGTTTTTTGCTTATGCATATAAGCCCTTCTGAGAAATCTTAGGAAGCTTTGTTTTAAAAATAGAAAGCTCTATTTTGAATCTGTTATGTAAAGGAACATTTTCTGTCCCAGCCCCTTGAAAGGCTTTAAACAAAATATTGTTGCGTGCGTACGGGTTCGTAATGGGTTGAATGCACAAGTCCGATGAAACATTTATAAAATTTATTCTTATCACAAGAAATAAAACAAAATGCTGAAATATTTCCTCAACAGATATTCGCACAATATCACACAGTACTTATATTTTAAACTACGAAAACGTCAAATAGAACACAATTCAAAAACGCAGAGAAAGCTAATCCGATCTCGCCGCGATTTCGCTACGGTAAACAACAACAGTTATCTAAACAAGTGAACTGAGAAGTGTTCCTCCGGCTTTTGTAAGCTTTCTAATCATGCACGAGAACATTATGGTATTTTCTCGAGGTTTCTGGAAAGCAAAAGAATACAATTACGAGATATATATTTCTTAAATGCCCGTGCTCCTGTATTTTTTAATTTTTCGGCGTAGCTTTCTCTTAAAACTCGTCACGCGGTGCATTGCACGGGGAAATAAAACAGTTTTAATTACAGTTCTACTAAAAATAGCTAAATAAATATGAAATCCGTAACAATATGTACAGTGAATATTCTATAATTTTAAAAACACACTGTTACTTTTAGCAAAAGAATTATTTGGCGGAAAGTACAGTCGCCAAACGTTTCTTGCCTTCATGGCATTTATAATCTGATAGTACCTATTTTAAATACGGAGAGATATAAGGTCATTCGCAAACTTACTGTCGATGGACTATAGCAGCTGAGCACGGGGAAAAAAAGAGAACAATGGACTATAAGAGCTGAGCACGGAGGAAAAAAAGAGAGAGAGAGAGAATTTTATCGAGGTAGAAAAACGTATTGCACATAGTTATGAGCATGTAATTCCAAGAACGTGTCTGTGGAATAGCATTTTTCCTCTCTGCATGCATTTGAGTCACTTAATTGTTTTCCTGCATTTTCGTTTCTGTTCAGCTTGTTTCACTGCGACAAAAGCGCGCGAATAAAAGCTGAATTGAACTACAGTCTCAAATAAGGTGGAGAAAATAAGTGCTGTGCAGTGATAACACAATCTGTGACCTCAGATTAGGAAAAATGGCCTTGAAGTACTTATGTTGTAACAGATTATATAATCAATTTTTTGTGGATACGACATGCCTGCCTAATAAAAATGAGTTCATAGAAATTGAGACAGTATTATTTCAAGGTTAGCATTATTTTTCAGTTTGATTACTAGAGCTTGCTTCAGAATGCTCTGAAATGCTCAAAACATGCCTTAAAAAGAGCCAAAAATGCTCTAAAAATGCTTTAAAAGGGTACAATGTTTAGCTTTTGAATAGTTTTAATTTATGAATGTTAGTTGCAGTATCCTTAACTCTGTGATATGGTAGTATATCAACTAAAAGTACTGCAAGTATATTTTTTAGCAATCCAGCATTCTCTGATAATTGCCTTTAATGTTTAATGATATAATGTTAATTTAATAATATTGTCTTTAACTTAAGGGTAGAGATGGCATTCCAGGAAGAAGGGGCGAAAAAGGTGATCAAGGACAAATTGGAATAAGAGGTCCCTTTGGCGAAAAAGGAGTTTCAGGAGATCCAGGAAGAGCGGGGGTTCCTGGCCCTGTTGGCCCAAAAGGATTCCCAGGTTATTTTTCCATATAAATATACTAAAAAAATAAGCAACAAACGCAAAGAAAAGGTACAAATGTAAAATGAGGAAATAAAAAATACAATTTACTTATGAGGTAGAGGCTGCATACCCGAATGCAAGTAGGCAAACAAAATTAGCATAAAATGCAAACCCGCAGTCACACCAAAAAGAGTATGCCAGAACTATGCGTCAGTTCGCAGACAGCGATAGTTTCGTGTAATCCGAGATAGCCAAAACGAAAAGCATGAGCCGAAGGCAACATTTGCATGGTAAAATGCATTGAAGGGCTGTCCGGATGTTGTTAGCTGGAGCAAGGCAATCCGCTGTTGCGAGAACTGAATGTGCATCGTAGTGTCATGAGTAGGCTGTGGAATCGTTACCGAAGGGATTAAAAACCGTACAGAAGACATGAGTCTGGATGTCGGAGGATTACCACAACAGCAGACTATCCCTTCCTGTTGTTATGTGCAAAACGCCGTAGATCATTAACAGTACTTCAGCTGGCGTCACATCTCTCTGATACTGCAGGACAAGCCATATCACGCCAAACTGTGTCGCGTCTACTGTATGAAGGTGAACTGTACGACGACCTGTGGTTTATGTTCCTTTGTTCCCATCGCATGTCAAAGAGGTGTTGAATTGGGCCCGTGAACATCGAAGTTGAACACCTGTGCAGAAGGGTCACGTACTCTTTACGGATGAGTCTCGATTTAACATCTAGAACGATTCTCGAAGGGCAATAATATGGCGAGAGCCAAAGCACGCTATCAGGAGCCAAACATCGAAGGCTTACTTGTATGGGCTGGGATATTAAGGAACGGCCACGTCGACCTCTACGTGATTTCTGGCTGTTCCTTCACAGCCGTTCGCTACCGCGACGAAATTCTACACTCTCTTTTGCATTCCTTTCATCACTACAATGGGTACCGATGCTATGTTTACGAACGATAACGCATAGAGCTCGACTGGTCCGGAACTATTTGGAGAGTGAAACCATTTCGTATTTGCCGCGGCCTGCTAGGTTACGGGACCTGAATCCCATAGAGTATGTGTGGGACATGTTGGAACGACGGACAGTAGGTCGCAGAATTCCGCCAAGCACCGTCCATGAGCTCCGATATGCATTACTACAGAAATGGGAACTCCTGCCACAACAAGCGATCAACGACACTATTGCCAGCTTGCCTCACCGATGTCAAGCATGCATTTCAGCTAGAGGGTATCATAAACGCTATTAGCTTGATTTTTCCGTTGCACATTCTTCCGAACCATTTGGTCTTTCGTTATGTGATGGTCGTAATATATGTGTTTTTGTATGTCTTTACTTTAGTGTTTGCTATGTGGTCTAGTAATGCCACAACAAGCTCTCTGATCAGTTTCCGTATATCCATTAAATAGTTTTTGTTTTATTTTGTTTTTGCCTTTGTTGCTTATTTTTTTAGCAGGAATGTAATTTAGATGTAATTTGTGTTTTACGTATTTGCTATTCTTATGACGTTTTCCCCTCCTTTGAAAGTTGTATTCTTATATTTTTTTCCAAAATATCAGATAGACTAGAGCTTCAAATATCTAGTTTATTTGGGATCTCTGGGCATTTGAAATATCTATATGACTGGTTGCTTTTATAGCCAGTTACATATTTACTGAAATGTAAGTGAGGGAATTTTATTTTTTCTTTTTGTGTACCGTATATTACTTTAACAAGCTGATGTGAAATAAAATATTTTTGTTGTCTTTAAAACGTGAGTGCAGCAACTTTTATTCAAAGTATTAGGTAATGAAATGATGTTTTGTTTGCCAACACAAACGATCTATTCGAATCTCAGCTAAATAAAACCATGAATTTAATTCTTATACTTTTATATAGTTGATTTATGTATCATATTTTATCTCTACTAAATCTAACGCAAACTGAGATATTACTTTTATTTCCATAAATAAAGTACAAAACGCATCTTCACAAAATTATCCAATGAAATAAATTGCTTACGCAGACGACCTATTTCTGTCCCAGTTTAGTTAGAAAACCATGAAACTGATTTTTATTTATCTAAGTCCGAAAACTAGGCGTATAATTGTTTTATTCTTCTCATTTTTAGCTGCACTAAAATTAAGAACCTACTTTTACTTGCATGGAGCTAAAATATCCGTTTCTGTGACTGTTTTTGAAATGAAAAGCAAATATTCATAAAGGGAGCAAAGAACACAAGCCCATATATAGTATATATTTTTACTTTTGTGAAACCTAAAATTAAATATATACTTTTTCCTTTCTTTGCTACATTAAAATGTAACGCCAAAGTTACTTTTTATTTTGCACAAAGCTAAAATATAAATAGTTTTTGGTATTTTTAAGAATTTTTAGAAAAAAAAAAAAAAAAAGCTAATAAGAAATGCATTTATATAACTGGAAGACTACTAGTGGTTTAAGGTGGGATAAGTGTTTAATCTGTACCAGTGGAATCCCGATAACATTCCTGTGCCCAAGAAGTTTGATTTCTGAAAAGTCTTAAGATGTGCTAAAATTTTACGTCTGAAATAATGTGCACAGCGTCTCTGAGAAATCAATTATTTGATTCACTGAAAAAATAAGCAGTTGGATGGAAAGAAATAGGCCTGTTATATGCTGAAACACCAGATCAAAATATTAGTCACAGTATCGTCAACAAGCTATGAAATCAATTCTCTACAGAGTTTGTTGTTTCAAGAAGAGTGATCCAAGATTGTCTGCTGGCTATAACTTCTTTTGATAATAAAAAATAACTGTAACTGCATCTCAGCTTGTCTATCTTTTTGCAGCAACATGAAGAAAGAAAGGTATTTGAATTATAGGTAAGGCTTCACATACAAGGATTTTTCTTTAAAAGATCTTTCATGTGTATTTCATTGCAGAAGCCAAGTCGATTACATGAGGAGAGTGAACTCATCGCATGAAGCAAACAAAAATGAAATTCACTAATTTTCAGAGATGAATCCAAATACTTCGATTATTTGGATTCGCATCAGTCGGACAGTGAAAAGAACATGATCAGTTGTTGCGACGTAATGCATTTCTCGTGTGTCTTTTAAAAAACAGTGTCATTTTTTTTTACAGAAATATAAAGAGTGTACTTCTAATTAAGTAAAGAATATTTTTACCTAGATTTGTGCTATGATAAGTAAATGATTATATTATCTAGATTTGTTGTTTGTGTGTGCGATCTTGCTTATCTTAATATTTATGTTTTTTTTTATTTGCTCCTTAATTTTCACAGCGTAGGTTAAATTAATTTAACAGCATCTTAAAAAACGTATATGCTGTGGTATTTTTATATTATTTTAAAAACAATGCAGAAATGAAAGAATTAACAGTAAATTTAGTTTTAGTTGGCCCAGATAAGAATAAGCAAGTTCCGGATATCTAGAATCTGGATTACTGGAATTCTGTTGTGGGTATAAATTCTAATAAAATTTTACCTATAGGTTGGAGAGGAGATCCGGGTGATCAAGTTCCCGAGAATGAAATATTATCTATACCTGGCTTGCCAGGAGATGTTGGGCCACCTGGATTCATTGGAAGACCTGGACCAGCAGGGCCAATAGGAGATCGGGGCCTAAATGGGTTGCCTGGGCTTAAAGGCAGCCCAGGGTACCCTGGACGTGATGGATTACCAGGACCTCAAGGGCCTAAAGGTGTTGCTGGTGACAGAGGATTAGATGGTAATTTTTTTAACATTTTAATTAATGTATTAAATTTGTTAGCATTAATATGAATGTTTCATATAATGAATTATACGTAATCGTTAAAGATTTCTGCCAGAGATTTATCTGTACAGTTTTTTCGAGTTGTAATTTATAAATAACCTAGGACAGCATTTTTTTTCTTGTTTTGTCCAACTCAAAAATATCAATTATTTTATTTTTTCGTAATATACTAGTACAATTTCATTCAGTGTAGTTGAAATTGCAAGGTAACGTAAATCCCTTGTTAAAAATATCTCTCGGGTAAGTTTCCTTTGTTTGTTATCAGCTCGAGAGCACATATTTTAATTAACTGCTAATCCATACTTACGAATCCATATTTTCGAATATTAGCCGACTTCCCGGCACGTAGCACCAAAAAATGTTTATGCACGCACTAATGTACACTAATCGAATCAACGAATGACGCTGCCTACGCGTCTAACTATAAATCTAACGACGTATCTAAATGCCACATCTAAATTTCTGCAAGCGGTGGTTCAGTTATAATTCTATGATCAAATACTCAATCTAGTTTTAAAAGGATTTATTAAATACTAAACAAATTAATCTAATCTAGAATCTAGAATCGAATCTAATGTTACATCTCATGAGCAGCGTTCGAGCTGCGTTATGACAAATCGAAAGTCAAGTTCTCACTGTTGCCATTCCGATGCAACAGTGCTGCAGCTACAGTTGTTTCTAATCAAACCGGAACATCGGCAGAGGAAAAATTTCTAGTCAAACCAGAACATTAAATTAAGGGCGATTCAAATTAAGGGCGATTTGATTCAGTGATCAAAAGATGAATAAGAGGTATTTCTGTAATAACAGGAGACAGATATTGCACGTTCATTAGACATTTGCAACATAGTTAAGGCGTTTATTGCTCAAAAGGAAAGAAAATTGAAGATTTAGTGATGTAGAAAAAGATGATCCAAAGGGTAAAGGTAACATATATAAAATCATATATTTGTTCCTTTCCCTTCGTAACAAAATTCCGAAGATGCAAAACAACTTTTATTAAAAAGGATAAATAGTTTTAAAATAAAATAACGTATGTTAAATAAATTTTATGACAGAGTATTGTAAAATCTAAGAAAGGCTAGAAGATTCTGTAATATATAATAAATTCGAATAAGCGCATTTTTAATACGTTTTAAAATTTTGCATGTTTAAGTTGATAAATAAATTCTAATACTGAATTTAGTGAAAATAAGCTAGAATAAGACTTGTTTTACTGAAAATATGCACTTTTAATAATGTAATGCAAATGTCGCATTACAGCCTTACATTCAAATTGGCTGTGTAAAAATATATAATTTTGGAAATTGTTAATATAAAAAAATATATTACAATAAATCCTTGTACGTTTTGTTTTCAAAATAAAATTATTGATGATAATAAATTAAATAATAGTCTAAACATGCTATAGGAAATACGTTATAGAAGAGAGGGTATGTCGTTAGATGGCCCATATATCATAAATTGCGGGAGGGATGCTTAAAACGTCCCTGTTTTCTGACTTTCAAGAAGAGAATGATTTATTACCTTATTTGCTTTGCCCCCCTACCCTCATTAACATGTGAAAATATGATGAACGACTTTCTGATGTGGTTCAAGAATTACGGGTGTGTTTGTCAGCGATTCCTGCCTGAATTGAGTAATTTTTTAAACAAAAACAAGCTCACATTTCTCATTGAATTAGAAGGTTATGTTATTATTGATTCTCCCCCATCTTAATAATTGTGAGAAAGCAAAAAACTCATATTCCCATTGAGTTAGAAAATTAGTGTAATTATTGACAGTAAATATTTTTAATTTGTCAATTTGTAATACAATTTTGCACTTGTAGACTCTAAAGTTAAGAAATAATATTATTAAAATAATTATTGTTCAACCCTGTTTTATGTATTCATATTTCCATAGTTAATTTTTTTTTCACAGCACAGCCCCGCAGTTTCGAGCTTTGGGAACACCTGACTTGAAACCCACAGCTTTATTTCTGAGAATTATTACCCGAATCTATTAACTGAATTTGTTAGCTCATTATAATGCATGGCTTAATTATTTGCAGGAATTTTAACAATTTCACTGTTTAATTTTTTTAAGGTTTCAGAGGATTTCCGGGAGGTCCTGGATATCCAGGGGTAGCAGGCGAGCCGGGCTATCCGGGATCCCCAGCTCCATCCAGAGGCTTCTTCTATACCCATCACAGTCAAACAACTGAGATACCTCCATGTCCCGGAGGTACGACACTGATGTGGAGTGGCTATTCCTTGCTATACATTCAAGGCAACGAACGAGCACATGGCCAAGATCTTGGTACTTATCTAAGTATTTCTTAAACACTTTTCAATTATAATAGATTTACAGGCATTGCATGTTCTTGGATGATCCGCTATTTTGATTCTGTAAGTTTGGAGGCAGAAACTGTATACAATGAGGTTTGTGTTACATTATTTTCATTTAACATGATTAAGGGGAGAAATCTTTTTATATGATTTACTACAGACGGCTCCTTTTTTTTTCAAAATCTCCATTCGAATTTTAAAAAAATTCTTATTCTAGGGAAACGTTATTAGAATTTACATCCGTAACCAAAGATGCCTTTTTCATGATTACCCTTTGAAGAGGTTTTTTTATCTGCGAAAATATACACAAATATACATTTTATAAACTAAAAGTCCATGAAATAATCACTACACTGATATAGTTACCTCATGCTTGAAAACAATATATTACAATTAGAATTAACAAAATTTCTTTAAGAGATGACTGAGACTTACTTAAGAGATGACTCCGGTGTTTACTTAAACTACAGTATATTTACGTTTTCAAATTTGAACTAGAGTTTTTATTTTTATTTAGATTTTTTTCTTTCTCGTTTTTTATGATAACAAAAATAATCTACTGAAAATCCTTGTATTTAAGTCATATTTTCTTAATTTTTATTGTTCTGAAAGTGTCGTATTATTTTCTTCATGAAGGATAATGTACTTTATATATATATGTGTAAACTTTTATATATAAACCTTTATATATATATACTTTTATAAATTTTATAAAATGTCTTTAATGAACAAAAGTAATAATAAGATTTAACTAAACATTTTCATTTGACTTAATTATAAATAAATAAAAGAAAGGAAAATGAAAAATCGATTTTAAAGCTATATATGTACTGCCAGTATACAGTGAAAAAATAGAACAACATACAAAAAATAATATAAATATAATTGAGAAGAAGAAAGAAAGCGTATTCATTCTCCGTATTCATTTGTTATACAATAAGATTCTCTTACATAGTGAAAAATAGAATGCTTTAAAATATTTTTTTTTCTTTCTTTCTTTCCAGTTTTTTTGGAACATACTTAAAATATTGACTGGCCTAAGATACACAGAACGAAAAGTAAGGGAAGTCTGCTATGTCTATTTCGGTTGCGTATCTTGGGTCACTTTGTACACACCCCGACATTGAAAATGCAACACCAAGAAGGAGTGGCCAGGAAAGTGATGAAACTCGGCAAACAGAGAGACAGCAACGAACAATAAGTGATCTTTATTTCGAAATGATATGCATAATACAGAGCGAGAACAGCAGCGGATCAGTAAGTTGTAGGACCACCTTGGATAACGATACAGGAAGTAACACATATAGGTACAAAGTCAATGGGACTACGGATGGTGTCTTGAGGAACTGAACGCGCAATGGCAGGGTCAGCAAATGGCGTCCAGTCACATCCCAAATGTGTTCGATTGGTGAGAGATCAGGAGAGAACGGAGGCCAAGGAAGCATCACCTTGCAGAGCACGTTGGCTGATGCGAGCATAGTATGGTCGGGCGTTATCCTGCTGATAAAGAGCATTGGGCACTGCCTCAAGGTAGGGGAGTGTCACTGGCCGCAGCACATCATCCATGTATCGTTGGGCCATAATAATGCCCTCAATACGAATTGGAGGTGACCTGGAATCGTACGCAATTGCGCCCCAAACCATGATGCCGCGTTGTCGCGTGGTGGGGCGTTCCACAGTTGCTGCTGGATTGGACTTGTTTCCACATCGGCGCCACACTCGTACGCGGCAACTATCATTGGAGAAACAGCAGCGAGGCTTATCTAAGAACACGGCCTGGTGCCATTTCTTCATCCACATCGCTCGAGCCGGGCACCGTTACAGACGTAAGCATCTATGATGTGGGGGTCAATGGCAATCTTCTTAATGGACGCCACTAGTGCAGGCCACTAGTCACCAATCGACGGCAAATAGTTCTGGGCAATACCAACCTGCCCTTTTCTGTCCGATCACCATGCCCTTTGCAAAATCGTCTATCTGCTGCTTGCCTGCGCTGACGACGGCATATCATTCTATGCTATTACACGCGTCCTCTGAGACGAGAGCAATTTTTCTACGAGCAGAAATAACGGCACGAAAATTGAAAATTGTGCAGGTTTCTTCTCTTATATCTTCTTCAACGTGGGCTGAAGAACTGCGCATTTCACATCGTTCGCATATGCGTCTACCTGAAATTTGCATAATGTTCGGGTCACTCCTTCTTGGTGTTGCATTTTCATTGACGGTACTGTATAATATCGCTTTGCAGTTTATGAGCTTTATAATTGCTTTGGGTTCAGTTTATCTTGGGCCACCCTGTATTTGTCTTATCAGCGTAATTATATAACGAATACTGCAGCTCACTATATATAAATTCTATTACATCTAAAGTATAGAATCGGTGGAGTAGAATGACTGATTAAATTAGTTAATCGGAAAAGAAACACTGGTTTATTATTAAAATCATTAATATTTTTACAAAATTGCAGTTGTTAGACTCATTAAAATCATTTTCATAATAACTATTTAGTCTAGTTAATAATAAAAATAATAATGATAGCGACAAAGGCTACCTTTTTAAATGCCACGACCGCAATACCAGGTGTATTTTCTTCAGTATTCACGTCCTGAAATTCTGCATTGTGTTTTACACTAAATCTACACTGAAGTGACAAAAGTCATGGGATACCTCCTAATATTTTGTCGGTCCTCCTTTTGCCCGTCGAAGTGCAGCAACTCGACGTGGCATAGACTCAACAAGTCGTTGGAAGTCCCCTGCAGGAATATTGATCCATGCTGCCTCTATAGACGTCCATAATTGTGAAAGTGTTGACGGTGCAGGGTTTTGGGCACGAACTGACCTCTCGATGATGTCCCATAAATGTTCGATGGGATTCATGTCGGACGATCTAGGTGGCCAGATCATTCGCTGGAATTGTCCAGAATGTTCTTCTAACCAATCGCGAACAATTGTGGCCCGGTGACATGGCGCATTGTCATCCATAAAAATCCCATCGTTGTTTGAGTACGTGAAGCCATGAATGGCTGTAAGTGATCTCCAAGTAGCTGAAGGTATCCATTTCCAGTCAATGATCGGTTCAGTTGCACCAGAGGACCGAGTCCGTGCCATGCAAAAACAGCCCAGACCATTATGGAACCACCACCAGCTGAAACAGTGACTTGTTGACAACTTGGGTCCATGGCTTCGTGGGGTCTGCGCCACACTCGAACCCTACCATCGGCTCTTACCAACTGAAATCGTGACTCATCTCACCAAGCCACGGTTTTCCATTCGTTTAGGGACCAATTGATATGCTCACGAGCCCACAAGAGTCGCTGCAGGCGATGTCGTGCTGTCAGTAAAGGCACTCGAGTCGGTCTCCTGCTGGCATAGCCCAAGGAAGACAAATTTCGCCGCACTGTCCTATCGGACACGTCCCTCGTACGTCCCACATTGATTTCTGCGGTTATTTGACGCAGTCTTGCTTGTCTGTGAACATTGACAACTCTACGCAGACGTCGCTGGTCTCGGTCGTTAAGTGCAGGTGGTCGGCCACTGCGCTGTCCATGGTGAGATGTTATGCATGAAATTAGATACTCTCGGCACACTCTTGACACTGTGGATCTCGGAATGTTGAATTCCCTAACGATATCCGAAATGGAATGACCCATGCGTCTAGCTCCAACTACCATTCCGCATTCAAAGTCTGTTAATTCTCGTCGTGCGGTCGTAATCACGTCAAAGCCTCTTCACATGAATAACTTGAACACAAATGAATGCCCTGCCAAAGCACTTCGCATTTATACATTTTCTACGCGATACTACTGCCATGTGTATATTTGCATATTGCTATCCCATGACTTTTGTCACTTCAGTGTATAATGCCTTCGAAAAAGGTAGCTCCACAAGTATTATTCTCAAAGTAACTTAGAGAATTTTATATAAATGCTTTGTGCACTGAAAGTGAGAGAGTTTTGTGTGATTGACTTTATACATGGCCCCCTATAGAGTGAGAAATTAAACTTTTTAAATAGTCATTGCGTTTTTGTTAGTTATGTGAAAACACTTCATACTTTTAAAGTATAAGATTTGTATATAATCCATAATGAACAATAAATAAACTTGGTTGTGGAGGCAGATAAAATATTCGTTTTTATTTCAACTGACATGTGTGGCCATAATTCACCTGGCACTCTAATCGTGTCTGGTTCAAAACGTTTAGACTTTTTATAGCTTTTGCGGTAAATGATGCGCGAAGCAGCATGCTAAAGTATAGTCAGGACGAGGCGCAGAAAGCAAATACATGCTTATTCAACTCAAATTCATTTCGATTCAATTTGAGTTCTGAATCAGCTAGGTTGTAAGATTTCCATCTTTTAAGTAACTGCTAAAGTTGAGGATGCTTAAGAACTGAAAAGCGAGTAATCGCTTTAGTTCGGTAGACAGAGAATAGATATTCAAGAAGCGTTAAAAACAATTTATTATTCCAAATAAAGTTCACAGAAGACTCTTTCTTGGAGTTTACAATAAAGCCTCCACTCGGGCTTAAACTCAGGAAACTAAGAAATAAAACTTATCTAATCTTAACTAAAAAGATATAGCTGAAGCTATTAAGATTCTAACAGAGTTGGCCCCTTAACGCTAACTAACGGCGATGCTATCAAGGGCCTAAGATACTGCGGAGTGTAATAATAGCTTAAGAGAGAGAGAGTAGCCTAAAAGGCGAACGCGCGCTGCTCAGAATACCTGGCTCTCTAACGAATCAGTAGAACTTCGCATTTAAATACTTCTTCTCCTCATTCGCATTTGACCGCGATTCTGAAAATACGCTCTGGCCGAAAGTTGTAAGCTGAAATTCAGGAGGACACAGGAATGTAACTTTTGATGGACACAGGAATGTAACTAAAAATTAACTGTTAGATAAATTAAGATAAACCTTATAAGGTCTCATTGTATGTAAAAGTCATATGACATGAATTAATCTAGAAGTGACGAAATCGAGAAAAAGTTATTAAGTAATTGCTATTTTTAGAGCATAGAGGGAAATTACTCAAATTAAAATGAAGAATTAAATATATATATATATGTGTGTGTGTGTGTGTGTGTACACACAATTCGTATTTTTATGGTCGACAATAAATTTATTAATAAGTCATGTTTTACCCTGTACTAGTCCACCAAGCACCAAAATGAAGAACTTTCGTTTTCTATTTGCTGTATAAATTTGGCAAAAAAGTTTCAAATTTTGCTCAGTAATAGGCATAGAAAATTGGTTAAATCAGTGCATTCATTTTGGAATGTTCCCTGAATTTTGCACGTAAAGGTATTATCGAACATTTTGCATTTAACATAATAAAGCATAATGAATATTTCGCTGATTTTTCTCTATGGGAAGTGTATAAAATGTTATGTTTTCATTTAAAGATTTGTATTTAGATTCATTTACAGTGCTAAAACTGGTTTTCTTAAACACTGTATTTATGTTTAAAAAATTTGTAATTCAAAATATACGTCTGGAATCATTATTGAAGGAAATAAAGCAACCTTCATTAAGCATCCTAAACTTCCTCAAAGGCAGTTTCTTTAAAACTGTATTAAATTTTAATAGCCATTTCTGAATTTTTCTTGATTTTCCGTTAACATTTTTAAATCAGATTTTATTTATGATAAAGTTTTTCATATTTTTACATTATAATAATGTTTCTCACAAACTGTCAGTTTAGCATTAATTCTTCATTGCTCTTAAAGCTCATAAATATTGTAATTTTTCAAACAGTAAATGGAAATTAAAATCACTCACTCGCAGTGTTTTATTTTTAGCCCAAACGGGCGTTAGACCTAATCGGCTATTAATCTCAAAACGGCATTTTGCGTCGTTTCACTTTCTGCGTTGATTCACTTTTAAAACTGTTGCCACCAAATATTATTGTCTTGCATTATATTTAAAGAAACTAAATAATGAAGAATCTGCATGAATGTTTCTCGCAATGTGAAGAAACAACGGTATATAGAGCCATGTAATTTTGAATAACGTAGTCCTCCAACCGAACATAGGCACCTGGAAGCCCGAATTTTGAATTTCGAATTTCTTTTATTATCTATTTCAAATTTTGTAAAACTTTAACAAATTTTTGATTAACAAACTCAACGACTTCAAAGCGAGCAATGGCAACACTGTACGGAAAAAAACATTTTTATCTCCAGCGCGCGAGACTGTGCATCAGAAATTCTAAAGGTCGCTGCTTAGCTGTTTTTAAATATTTTGTGTTATTGCTCTTGGATTGAATTTTACGAGGTTTAAGTACGACGAACATAATATTTAATAAGTAGAGGAAGCACACAAAACGTTAAAAAAAATCCTTTTGGGCGTAATATAAAATCTGAATGCTTTCAGATTTTCTTTTTATATATATATTTTATTTTATTTTCAGTTTTATGTTTGATTTATCTTGTTCCTCATGAAGCAATTTTTTTATCAGTTTTATGTTTGACATGTTGATAGGAAGTCCTGGAAGCTGTTTACGTAAATTCAGTACAATGCCTTTCATGTTTTGTAACCTCAACAATGTGTGTCATTTGGCATCACGCAGCGATTTCAGCTACTGGTTGAGCACGCCAGAAACTATGCCTATGGACATGGCACCTATTATTGGAAGGAACATTAGAAGATTTGTTAGCAGATGCTCCGTTTGCGAATCATCAACTCAGGTAATTAATTGTTATTGCTTCATAGTTTGAATTCATAAGAAACTGAAATTTGAATAAAACAACTTAGGTACTCTTTGGGTTTGTACATACATTCCTTTTAATATATTTTATATTCATTTTTATAGATATATTTTTAATATCCTAGAATTTGAAATCATATGAAAATGATGTCCTCTAATGTAAAGCTTCAAATTAAAGAATAGAACTTACTCTACAACTAAGATTAGTAATGATTTATATAAGTTACATCTTCATTAGCGCACAAGAACTTGATAGTAAATTACATTGTGCTAATGGGCAACAAAAAATCTGTTACATGACCTTTTTATGGCCTAATCTGATGGATTTGAAGAGAGAAGTTGGATTTGTTATTTCTTTACAGTAGGAGAAATTGACTATATCGCCATTTAAAGGAAAATTTCTACTGACCTACTCCTTGCCATTCAGAAAAATATTGCCAATACAGTATTATATGACTGTAAAATTCATTTCTCTAACTGAAGCAGTTTTACTCCTTTCCCATTCAGGCAATTATTGGCTTATCTTCAGGGTTAAAATTAAATTACGAACTTTCTACGTTAATAAAGTTTTTGTTAAAAACGTTTGACATTACTCTCTTTTTATTTCAGCCATATTGACTTTATTTTTCATCTTCTGAATTGAAAGTAGCAAACATGAACTGCATAAACTCAAATACCAAAGAAAAGTCACCAAGAAATGAAATAAAACGCAAGGAAGGAAACAAAAACGGACCTATTAGAAATCATCGCCACTAGTTATTATTTGCCAGCTCTTCCAAACACTTAAAAATATAGAGATGGTGAAAATTTTCAGTCCTAACACTTCATATACACTATGTGCATCGTTCATATTTTCTTGATGACTACTGATGTATTTTGATGTTTACATGCCAGAAGTAGTTTTTGTACATGCCAGAAGCATTTTATATCGATAACTGTACATAAAATGAGTCTCTGACATGCATTTTAATGTTTTTATTTTTAAAATTATGATTTGGAGAAACAAGTATGCTTCTGAACCTGTTGATAAATTGAGTGGCATTTAAAAACGGTTTGGCGTTTGCATTAGTGAAATAGTTTCTTTGGATTGTATGCGATCACATGATGGCTACAAAAGAATAAATGGTTGATTATTGAAGTTTAAATTCAAAACAAAAAATTCCAGTTTTGTGGGAAAACATCACCTAAGAGTAAATTTCAGTAAATTTTGCTACCTTCGCATATCCTGAAGAATAAAGATTATACAGAAAATGGCTGCAGAAAGTATGATTAATGATTACTTATAAAAAATCATATAATCTAAAATAGCAGCTATCAGTGAATGGACTTACAATTTTATATAAAGAAAGATTTGCTTTCAATGTACATTCATTGCCATAAAAATATGTGCATCTGAAAGAAATTGTTAGCATCTAACGAGATATTACATATGTGAATGCAACATTAATATATGTAAATGATTACGGAATCAAAGCAAAAGTATCATTTATTACAGGAAAAGCTACAAATGAATGGAAGTTCTAGTACACTGTTGAGCGACATCTAACATGAATACATGAGACATACATGTCCCGCAAAGTGTTAGGCGTCATCTCATTGCACAGTTGCTGTAAGCGCACCTCTAGTTCGACCAGACACTAGGCTGCCCAGTTTGCCGTTCCAATGATTGTGGCATTGGTGTGTACCATTTAATTACCAGGTTCGCATTAGCTTGTGTAGATGTCGCATCCTATAAATGTAAAGCATAAACTTTTTTCCTAAAATCATAAAATGGGACTCCAGTGTTCATTTTCGCACGAGTGCGGTTAGACAGTGACTAGCGCCTCTCGTATTTTTCAGTTGGCATTCCCTTTTCTTTAATACATTTTGCTAAGAAACTCAAATATGTCGCTTCAGTCGCCGAAGAATCTATTTCAATGGGACACTTGAGCTGTTCTGCATGAATAGGAGAAGTGATTGCTATATTGTGAAGAAATTTTCAGTCTATAATGTTGCGAGGAATGAAACCTTTGGGTATTTCTACCACCAATTATGGAGATAACTGGAACATTATCCAAAGAGAGATCATTCACGACATCTATTGGAATAGGTATATTAAAATTGGTCAGCAGTAAGTCTAAAATAGTCTTCTGTTATTAATATTGCGACGGTAAGCAGGTTCTTTAGGAACATAGATAGATTGCTGTCCACTAGACGGCGAATCATGTGACCGTTAGCATTTGTGAAATTGCATCCCCAGTCAACATGAGCTCAGATTCCGCTTAACGTACTTGACGACACCTCTTTCACAGCGACTATGTCGATCACAGCGGTAAGCATGGAAATTTAGAAGGTTCAATCGGTTCCTAGGAAACGCAGGAGTCTCTTTAATTAGACAAATTTCGGCATCATGAATATTAATGAAGTTGTGAAACTAATTGTTTTTCATTAAGATATGATGGTTATTTTGCGTATAACGTGCACCGTACACTGAAAAGTTTTTACTATGACTCGAGCTCCGCAGGCCACCAGCTAACACATGGCGGACTGCAGGTTGGCAACCCGTGATCTAGAACAGTGTTTCTCAAGGGCCGGTCCGCAAGAAATATTTGCCGGTCCGCGAAATATCCAGCTATCTGTCCAAAATCTAAAGTAAGTTGAATGTAGATACGTAAATTAATACAAATGAAATGCTTTAAAAATTAGTTTTGTCTTTATGATTTATTTATGTGAAAAAATTGTGCCAATGGGTCGAATTATTAAACTTAACCGGTACGCGAGAATGTACCGAAATATTTTACCGGTCCTTGGAGTAAATCCAGTTGAGAAACACTGATCTAGAAGAGAGTTCTATTACAATATGCCAAACAAAAACAAATGGACTTAAAATGCGTAAACCCGTGTAGTACTGTAGTTTCATAGGTCAAAGAGTAATTCCATTAGCTTTTAATGCTACAATGGAGAACTATAGAAACATAAGAACACTAAAAGAACTTAGTAAGTTTTCTGACAAAATGATAGATGGAAACTGTAATGCCATCTGTTGACTAAAATGTGGACTACAGATAAGTAATTTTTTAAAATGTCAATGGTAAACAGTTTTTATCATTAACTAGAAAAGTAAGATTTTTTGTAAATACGAAAATCCTGCCCAAAACCTATTTCAAGAATTAAAAATGTTTTTTTATAAAATTTTGGCTAGAGAGAATTAGAAAATATGGTCCTCCTACCAATACTGTTGCCATTTGTTATATGAAGTCACCTGGCAAAGAATGTTATACGTAACCCATAAGCTCATATTTGAAATAGGGTTAATAAGAGCAAATAACAAAAGACCAAAGTATTTCTCACACAAAATTAAACTCATAATTTTGAATTCTTTTCATGGGCTGGATGTGTGGATATGTTGAATGCTTTTCCCATCCATAAACGTATTCTAGTTAACCTATGACATACAGGGGATGATTAAAAAATATAACGCAGGAATGTAAAGGAACATAGAGGAAACCAAAATAAGCAGATTTTGTAATGGAATGTATATGCGAAAATGATTCGTTGAGATGGAACAGGATTACTGAGTGTTAGATAAATTTGACGTAAATCATCATTATCCGAGCGGTTTCGTGCCGTATGCATCGCTACATGAATGCAGAGCTCACTCACAGAGACCGAGCAGCTAAAGGACGCACTCGAAAATCATTCTCTGTATCTCCAGATATTTTTTTAATCATCTTATACAGTAGTTCAGATCTCTGATTTTCTAATCATACTGTGCATTAGTTCAAAATATGTTTGGATAAAATCTAAAAGATACTTCATGTAAAATATGGGGGCAATGAGATAATTTATCTCTTAGAAAGAAAGTTCAGCCCGTATAGGTTACTTTATTGATTAAAAATATAACCATAGATAAATATGACTCATAGATAATTTCAATGAATTAAAATAGTTCCACATAATAATCTATAACACTTCATAATATTTAAAGTCTGGATTTTTAATACTAAACTGAGACTTATACATATTTACATAAAATGAGCATATCTATTCGTTTAAGTAAGAGATTCGGCAATCCTGTTAGTCAGACAAAATAGTTTGAATATTATCACTAAGCTCTTTAGGAGTTAATAATAGTTAATGGATTTTTATTGGCCCTTTTTATTTTTGTACTCTGTACTTTTTACTAATGCAGAGAAGAATATTATTTAATTGCCATTTTAGAAAATCATTCTTGAATAAGACTGTTAAGTAAATAAATAGTAAATAGTATCATGAAATTATTTAAGCATAAAAATGTATAATTTTATTCCTATTATTCAATAGGTAATAGCAGTTCACAGCCAGAGTACTGAAGTACCAGAATGTCCTAATGGCTGGGCTGACTTATGGGATGGATACAGTTTCTTCATGGTGAGATAATTCAAAAATTCTTTGCTTACAGATATATGAAATGAACTTGCTTTATTCTTTATCTATTTATTTATTCTTCGCATTACTTTTGCATTGTTACGGTATAATCTATTTGCGTTTCACATAGAAGTAACTGATATTAATCAATGAACATAAAGAAAATATAATCTTATAAATATTTTCTTTGAAAAAAAATCACTTCATCAAAATAATGATTGCAAGAAACGGAAGGTATAGTTCTGATTTCATATGAAATGAGAACTGATGTATTAGTTCTGATTTCGTAATTAAACAAATTCATAACTCATTTGAAACGAAATTCATAAATAAATATAATTAAACTTATATTTTGAACTGTAACAGCTGGATAGATCAATGTAAAATATTTTTGAATGAAGTCATCCATACATACCTATCTGTTGATATAAAACACCAATACGTATGTATAAATTGGTGACAGAATATGTGATGATTTATTTCGTTGTAGCTAACTTGATTAAAGAATGTAGCAATTATCTTTTTAATCATGGCCGAGAAGAATGTTGTATGGATGACGACTGGAGGGAAAGTCACAACTAACTTGATAGTTAAGATATCTTTTTTAATTTTGAGCAGGAGCAATTCTTCAGAAATGCATTTTTTTCCTAATTGGTACAACACAAAGGTGCTAAAATTGCCCCACAATTTTGTATATGCAGTTATATTTTAGAACAATGGAAGAATGCGATTAAGCGAAGAGACATCATTTAGCAAGCAAGTTCAGGTGGCAAAAAAAGAGTGCGTAGTAGGATTACAAGGGTATTTATAGTAAAATTTTCGTTAATCTGATTGGTTAAGAACTGTGAGAAATCATTATTATGTAGTTATTTCTTTGTCCATACAGTATTGCAATTTAGTCACTCACTGAAAAACAAAATTGATAGTAAAACCTTGATAGTATGATAATGTGAAATGATAACTTTAATAGTTTGATTAATATGATAGTAAAACTTCATCTCTTCATTCCATGTTAAATATCTAGATCAGTGGTCATCAAAACCTCAATCTGAGTTACCACTATATTGCCAAAGCATTCCTGACACCTCACACAAAAGAATTTTCCTTTCAAGCTTGAAGAGTTGCGCGCCTCCAACCTGCACGCAACCAAGAGGCGACTGTTGAAACTGGAAAAGAGACACAGTCTTGCTAAGGGTTTAAGTCCCTTTTTATTCAACTTAAGACATTACAATTGCGTGCTCTTGACGCTCACAAACTACGCCGACCCGGCGGTAAAATAAAAAATAAGAACCTGAAAAGAAATAATAACAAGACTCTAACTACGAGGCTCTCTAAAAGTAACTAACCTCACCGCGTTTTACAATACCGCTGCTAATTCAGCAAACTTTGAATATCACGTTGAACGATTAACAATTCTCCGAGGCAAGCACACAGGCCGAAACGCGGGTTTCTTCAATTTCTGGCTAACTACCTCCGCGCTTCGTGAAGTACGAACAGCAACCTCGAACTCGTTTCCTTTTATTTAACTGAGAATACTTCCGCTGATAATTTGAATCCTGCGCGTTCTACTAAAATTTACATACTCTGGCATTGGCATTTCCAGGGAAAGTAAGGCTTGACAGGAAAGATAGTTTAAACTTAAAATAATGTTAGTTAAAATAAATATAAAACCCTACATTTGCCGCTGCCAGAATTTGGAAAACTTGGAAGCAGGTCCTACAAACGACCTGTTGTAAAGTTCTATAATTCTGAACTAACTCAGCCTCGTTTACATAAAAAAATCTTATGTAGCAAAATGTATACTAAATTTCTGTCGATTTACTATATAAATCTCTCTTCTTACAGCAACTTTTCCTGGACTTCATCAATCAATCTTGTTCTTTTCCTTCCAGCATCTGGAAGGAATAAGTATCAATATTTTCTAAATACATTATAATTTACACTTTCTTGACACTGAATAAATTTTTGTTTTTAAACGATTCGTTTTCCTTAGTTACTGCTTAATTCACATTCATTCAATTATTCAAACATTAATTTAACTTTACCCTGGCTCTCCACCATGTGTGGTGTCAAACGGGAATATTCGTGTTTTAGTCTTACAACACTTCCCCTAACCACCATGATTTGTTAGAATTCAACGACCAAATAGACACACCTTACTCGACATTCTACAACTCGATGAGCTACTTTAACATTCTTAATAATTCAAGTGTAGGTGGAGAACCCTACAAAACACATTCATTCTAATTTCCCTCTCATTCATCTTTAGACATACAGGCTTTCGCTCTAAAGCATGATTTTATCTACAGTTTAATACTTAAATTCGAATTCATTGCTTTTAAGCATTTACTTTTAGCATCTAAAATTTTATGCTTCTAGACTAAATTCTACTTTTACATAACTTTCAAGTATTTACGTATATTTACAAAATTTTAATACATATGATTTTTACAATTTACCATAAAATGAATAAGAGAAAATAAATTTTTACTTTACTCATTCTTCGCGAAGCTGGCGGCACTGAAACTAAAATTCTTATTTAATACAAGAATACGAAGTTATTTTTATCTTCGGCCAAATTTTGGCTTTAACATAAGAGAATTAGTCTTTCGACCAACAGAAAATGCTTGTTCTTTGCTTTTATACTTAAAGCAAATAATACTTTTGCCTTAGCTAAATAAAGTAAAACAAAACTAAGTCTCAACCTAGACATATTGACTTTCGTCAAAACATAGAACTTCGTACTTATGCATAACATTTCGGAACAAAAGAAAAAATTTTATAGAAGATTTTAACTTATCTTTGAGTTTTTGATGATTGAAACTCCGTCATTCTTTTCTGGCAAAATTGTTCCCACGTTATAGGTTTCATGGACGTCAATCTTCTCCTTACTGACCTCCGAGTGTCGTCCACATTAGTTTTTCTTTTGCGTCCTCTGCATGCTGGCCTCTTGGCGGAGTAATCGTCGGGCTGTTGTCGTTTTCGTTTTTCCATTGGACGGCTGGTCTTGACGTCCTCCGGTCTGGAGTCCTTCTTGAATTTCTTCTGTTGTTCCTGGTATTTTCGTTCCTCCTGCTGTCTTCTCAGTTTCCGGAACGGCGGCCTTGCTTGCACCTGACTCTCTGGCCCTGGGAGCGTTCTCCTTGATGTATAATTTCTACTGCGATACGTTGTAGGTGGTGGTGTTTTTCCTCTTACCAAGGTTTCTTTACGCGTGGATCTGCATTCTTGTTTTTCTTAAATGCTGGAGTTTGAAAGTTTTCATTTTTTCTTTTTGGTACCGTCGTCTTGGTTGTAGAAGGGCTAGGTCTCTCTTCAGTTCTCTGCTTCTTGGGTGATGGAACAGTTGTCGTTATTTCTGGACCTTCTACTTCTTTTAGACTTGAGTCCTGCAAGAAACTTTTAAGGATTTCAAAATCATTTGGATTATAGTATTTTTTCACCTGGTCGGGACTTGCTCTACTGATGTCCCCTCTCTCGTTCTTAAGGTACAATACGACTCCTTTGATTTCCTGAATTACATAGGGGCCTTCAAATTTTGGAGCTAACTTTGCAGTAAAATTGTCTGGGGCACTTGATAAAGAAAATTTCCGCTTCAATACTTTATCCCCAACTTTAAAATCTGCTTCACGGCGTTTTCTATCGTAATACACTTTTTGCTTATTTCTTGCCGTATCCGAGCTTCTAAGCGCCTGATCAATAAGTTTTTGCACATCTTTATGTTTAAACTCTTGCTCTCTTTGTTGCACAAAGAATAATTTATCTAAAGGCGTAATTAACTTTCGGCCTAAAAATAATTCTGCTAGAGATTTTCTGGTAGTATCGTGATTTGCCGTTCTTAAAGCATAAGCTAATTCATTTATGTAGCCATCCCAGCGCTTGTGATGTGTGCTAACGTAACTGCGAATTATTTTTACTATGTTTTCATTCACTCTTTCTGCTATGTTTGCCTGTGGTCTATACGGAACCATTTTGATATGGCGTATGCCAAGTCCAGTGCATATGTTTTCAAATATTTGACTAATGAATTGTTTTCCGTTATCGCTAATGACTTTTATCGGAGCACCGTATTTTAAAATGTATCCGTGTAAGAATGCATCTGCGACTGTTTTGGCTGACGCGCGTTTAAGTGGAACAATTTCTGTCCATTTTGAAAAATGATCTACAATTACTAAAGAAAACGATTTTTATTTAACTCACTCTGGGGGAAAGGACAAAGAAGATCTATGCTGAAAATTCCATTCGGAAATGTAGAGCGAATGCTATTTAAGTACCGGCCGGGCTGTAATTAATATCATTTATTAACTGACATTGATTGCAGGACCTGACATACGCAGTTACTATTTTGTATAATTGCGGGAAATATACCGCCTCGCGTACCCTTTTTAAAGTCTTTCTCGCCCCTAAATGACCCGCTCTTTTCGCGTCGTGTAATTCCTTCAAAATGCTTAATCGAAGCGAGGCTGGGATGGCTGGTTTGTACTCGAGATTTTCGTTTGTTGTTTTCGTATAAAATAATAAACTATCTATTATTTCATAGTCTTCTGCTCTATTTCTTATTCGCATCGATATCTGTGTGTTCAAAGATTTCGGGGTCATTCAAATACGCATAGATATTTCCAAATTCAGGATCACCTTTCAAGTTCAGTGCAATATTTCGTTATCTCTAGAACCTAAAATTTTTCAAAAATTTTAGATTCTAGAGAAACAAATAGTCAACACAGCGCATTTGAGTTCATTGCCTTCATCGTCCAAGTTTTATTACGAGAAAGTGCGTCAGCTACATTGTTTTCCTTACCCGGTTTATATTTTTATTAGATTATATTCTTGGAGTTTTAAAGCCCATCTTATTAACCTGGGCGTTAGGTTTTTTCCCCGAGTAAAGTCTACCAACAGCCGCATTAACCGAAATGACTGTTACTGGCGCTTTGCCGAAATAAACTCGAAATTTGTGTACAGCCATTAATACGGCTAATGTTTCTCTCTCTGTAGCTGTATAATGCCTTTGTGTCTGATTCAACGTTTTACTAAAAAATGCCAGAGGATGGCTATTTTGCATAAGAACCGCACCCACCGCATAGTCCGACGCATCTGCTGCAATTTCCAGTTTTTCGTTCCCCTCCGGGAATTTCAAGACAGGGGCATTGATGAGCGTTCTTTAATCTTTTCGAAAGCGGTATTTTCTTCCGCTGTCCACGTAAATTTACTTCTCTTTCTTTTAATTATTAAGAGTGGTTCAACAATATTAGCGAAATCTTTTATGAAAGACCGATAGTAAGAACATAACCCAAGGAAAGAGGAAAGTTTCTTGGCGGTGTTGGGCGGTGGAAAATTCTTGATTGCTTTTATTTTTGAATCTTGCGTTTCTATACCCTTTTGCGAAATTTTATAAACCAGATATTTAAGTTCTTTAGTTGCGAACTTGCATTTTGAGGCGTTAATTGTAAGACCGGCCTCTTTTAATAATTTAAAATCTTCTTCTAGATCTTTAATGTGTTGTTCCAACGTACTACTCGTTATAATTATATCATCTAGATAGATTAAAGTTGACTTTCCTAGGACAGGCTTTAGAACAATGTCCATAGCTCTCTGGAATGTTGATGGGGCCCACACAACCCAAAGGGCATGCGTAAAAATGCATAAGTGCCCGATTTTGTTATAAACGCGGTTTTATGTAAGTCTTCGGGTCTCATAGCTATTTGATAGTAGCCAGACGTTAAGTCCAAAGTAGACATGTATCTTGTAGATTTGATCTTTCTAATAATTTCCTCTATAACCGGCAAAGGGTAACCTGGGAATTTAGTAATACTATTTAGTTTTCTGTAATCGATAGCAAACCTCCAAGCCCTTTTATCCGAAGGAGGAAACTCGTTCTTTTTCCTACATAGTACGACTGGACTCGCTTACTCACTATTTATGGGCGTTATTATTTTATTCTTTAACATCTCCTGAATATGTTCTTCGATGATTACGTCTTTTTGTTTGTCATAACGATATGGTTTAGTCCTACAAGGTTTTTCGGCAGTTAATTGTATCGATGCGTAACTATTTGACAACTCCGGCTTTTCTGAAAAACAGTTAGAAAAATTACTCACCACTTGCTGGATGGCTTGACTTTCATGGTCATTCAGATGGCTAAGGTCCACTTGCGGTTGTTCCACAGGTTCCACCACCCTCTGGTCCATCTCCAGCACAACGGAACTGTCTTGAAAATTCAATTTGGCCTTCGCGGCCCTTAAAAACTCCATACCTAAAATAAGAGGATTTTGCAGATTCTTCACTACAAAAATAGTTTGAGGCTTTTCTCTTTTACCTGTATGTTTAATGATAATTTCCCGATGCAGTGACAGTTTTTCCTTGCGCCGCTATAATTTCCGTATTTTGGTTTTAAATAATCGTACCCTATAAAAATTCTTTTTGAAGAATTTTCGCTCATAAAAATTTCCTCTTCTCCTGTATCGATTGAGGCTTCTACTGTACATCGCCAACCAGACTTGTATAATTGGTAGATGTGAGTTTTTTACGATGACCGTATTTAAATGTCTTTTTGAGGGTTTTTTTTTAAAACTTCGGGGGTCTGGACCTCCGCTTTCACAGGCCCCTCTACTCGTTTAAAGGTTTCCTTTCAAGTTCTGCCTTCTGGGTACGCGGATGTAGTTTTCGAATTTCTTTTTGGGCCTTGACCTTCGAGTTTCGATGAGTTAGCTTGATAGCTCTTTCCCCCATAAGAGCGGTTTGCATTCTGGTTTGCTCATTTGAAGATTTCCTTCGGGTACTTTGAGAATACGATGCCCCTCTAGCTTTTTCCGCTATTCTGTGATTTTGAAACTTCACCGCCAATTCGAAGAGCTCCTGCAATGTGCTTGCGTTTCTAATTTCAAAGTAGTCTTGAACAGCAGGTAACAATCTTGGTAAGATTATTTCAATAATCTCCGCGTCGGGTTTCTTCCCATACAGCATATCCGTCAGCTTACTTTTTCGTAGAATAAAGTCCGTCAACTCTTCTATATCCCTTTGATAGAAACTATATAGTTCGGCTTCCAGCCTTGCTCGATCTTTCACTATGGGGAAGGCCTTTACTAACGATTTTTTTGAAATTTTCAAATGCATATGTCTGGCTTCCAAATTCCCCTAATAAAAATTTGCCTATATTCTTCCACCATAGCGCGGCCTGTCCTCTTAGTGCGGATGTGGCGATGGCAAATTTTTGTCTTTCAGGCACAGGGTAGAGCTGCTGAAAGTGATTTTCTAGGCCTTCTAGAATATCGCACCGAATTTTTTTCCGTCGAAATTGACGTTTGGCTTGATTGACGCTCTCAAAGTCTGGACCAGGTATCCAAATCCTTCCAAATGGCTTAAATTTCTTGGTGTGTTGTCCCGCGGCTTCCATCCGATTTTCGGCCATTTCAGTTCGATAAGAGTTCGGGCTCCAATGTAGAGTTGCGCGCCTCCAACCTGCACGCAACCAAGAGGTGACTGTTAAAACTGGAAAATAGACAGAGATCTTGCTAAGGGTTTAAGTCCCTTTTTATTTCAACTTAAAAAGTTACAATTGCGTGCTCTTGACGCTCACAAACTACGCCGACCCGGCGTAAAATAAAATAAGAACCTGAAAAGAATAATAACAGACTCTAACTACGAGCTCTCTAAAAGTAACTAACCTCACCGCGTTTTACAATACCGCTGCTAATTCAGCAAACTTGAACATCACTTTGAACGATTAACATTCTCCGAGGCAAGCACACAGGCCGAAACGCGGGGGTTCTTCAATTTCTGGCTAACTACCTCCGCGCTCGTGAAGTACGAACAGCACACCTCGAACTCGTTTCCTTTCTATTTAACTGAGAATACTTCCGCTGATAATTTGAATCCTTGCGCGTTCTACTAAAATTTACATACTCTGGCATTGGCATTTCCAGGGGAAAGTAAGGCTTGACAGGAAAGTTAGTTTAAACTTAAAATAAATGTTAGTTAAAATAAATATAAACCCTACAAGCTAATGTTAAAAATCTATATAATAAATACATGATTATATAAAATATTCAAATCATGATTTTCAAATGGTGTCATGAAAGATGCCTGTAGCAAAAACTGCCTTAAAACTGAAACTGTTCAGCTTTTTCATGGAAAATTTATCAGAAATAGATACTGTTTAAACTGTAGAACCTCTTTGGACTGTTTAAACTGCAGAATCTCTTTCGAGTTTTGCCTCAGTAGAAAGCTAATTCTGATGTTTTCAAGTTATCCATTATTATAGTATGTTGAAGTTGTGAATAAATCAGTAAAACAAGCGCTTTTACTAGAAATTTAGTTTTTCTAATTTATTTTACATTTATTCATCATAGATATGTATATGATGTAATACTTAATTAATATATAAATTATTATTTAGTAATAATAATATTAATATATTATTAGGCATGTTATAAATACCACACTTATTCCAGCACGTTATAAATACTACAGCAGGATCAACTTTTCTTTCCACTCCATGCAACCTACCACTCCTGAGTTAGTCCATCTGATGCGTCCAAAATTTTGTTGCCCCTGTACTGATTTCACTAACTCATATTTTGGTCCCGATAATAACCCATTATAAAGGGTTACACAGATCTCTAGACTCGAAATGCAATAATTTTGACGATAGGGTGATTTGGGGGCTGATGATGTAATGTCTATGAAGATCATCCAAGAACTCCTACATGACATCCTGATGCTGATGCAGATTCTATAGAAATGCTATTCTATTGTCCAAACAGCTTGGGCCATTTTCAGGCAATGCTCAGTTATGATGACTGCAACACTCAATATTTATTAAGAGACTGTTCTATAGAATTATTTTTATAGATGTAGACAACAGTTGAACATAACTTTAATTAGAAATTTTGCATAATAAAATTTTTTAAGAGGGAGGGAAACGATTTATGTGTCTAAGTGCATGAATTACCCATACATTAGAAAACCTGCTGAAAACAATTTTTGTGCACGTTTGCTGATATTTAAGTCACTTTGCAAAATCAAAAAATTGTAGTCAAGAAATGTTAAAGAAATTCCACTGTAATATATGAAGAACAAAATTATATAAATGATTGTAAATTAAAAGTAATTATATATATTTCACCTTTTAGAATACTGATGCTGGAGCCGAAGGTAGTGGACAGCCTCTTTCTTCCCCTGGTTCTTGTTTGCAAGATTTTAGGCCAAATCCTTTCATTGAATGCCAAGGCCTTGGCAGATGCAACTACTATACTACTGCATACAGTTTCTGGTTGGCAGCTATTAAGCATGACAAGCAATTCATCATTCCCGAACCACAGACACTGAAAGCTGGAGACCTAAAGTCCCGTGTTTCAAGGTGCAGGGTATGTCGACGCATACCCATTCCTGGATATTAGACAATAAAAGGTCAAGAAAATTTTAAATGGCTTGATAAATAAACAGCATTTAAACATTCTGTTGAGAAGATATCAAAGTGTTGACATAGACTGCTTTTACATAACGAAATTTAACTGCCAAAACGCAAAATGTAAATGAAGGAAATGGGTAAAGTTTTGACTCTTTCTAACAAACTCATTGCAAAGAATGCTTATAAAAAGAACAAACAAGGTCGTTGAGAGTATAAAAATGTACTTCTTCAGAAACTTATTTTTAAGGAAAGATTTACAGATTTAGAGGAAAAGAAATTCTCAACTTGTTTTAAATATAATGATGGTATTTCTTCTTATTTTCTTTGACTGAAGAAATAGATACGAATTATGCAAACACTGGCTTGAATAAGTATACTAATGACAAACTTATTAAATTAAATGGAAGCGAAATGAGGCATTATTTTCCCTTCAAACATATTACTTTATCCTTAATTATAAACTTTATTAATTAGAAGTAATTAAATTCTAGAACTTTGAACAAGAAAATTGTGTTAGTTAAATTACAATTAAAATTTTAAAGAACAACTATGGTTTCGAATGTATCTGAAATCTTCTTTAGTTAGCTTTCAAAATTTCAGAAAACACTAGAATATTATCAGTTAGGGAAAACTTGCACATATTTTATTCTGGAAGGAATTTAAATTGTTTTAAGTTTTTATGATTTATATTGATTGAAAGTTACAATTCTAAAGTATTTTTAGTATATGAAATATAATATGTTAAAACAAGTCCAAGTGAACAGGTTGGTGTAAATGAAAAGGAAGGGGGAAAAGAACTTTGAAGGATGTTTCTAGTTATGTCAAAGGAAGGATAATTGCTGTTATAGCAATAAAATAATGATAATGAAGGATAAAATAACAGCTTTATCCAAACAAAACACTGCCAGTATAAACTGTGTATTGTTAGTTTGCTTCTGCATCAGCTTTATGTTCTCTCAGTGTTTAAAAATTTGAGGCTAATGTGATTTCGGTACTTTCTGATTATTCACAGCCCTACAAAAAGCAGCGAACTCATTGGTGACTTTGTGAATTGGCAAAAATCTTTGGTTTAGCTAACTTAATGGCTCACAAAATAATGTTTTGTTCAAAAATAATAGTAAAAGGAATAGTTTTATAAAGAACAAATTTTATAAGAAAAATAGAGAAATCTATATAATAAATATTTGCATTTTAATAGCTGGGGGAAAGAATTTAGTGAAATTACCGTAAAATATAAAGCACATAAATCTTATATATACTCAAATATGTACTACATGATTCACACTTGCTTGGGTTATTTATCATCGGCAATGGGCAATACTACCAAAATTAGAGACAAAGAGTGCAGATAATCAGAAAGTACTATGACATTTTTAAACGCTGAGAACTTATAATAATGTTTTGTTCAAACAAAATAATGTTTGTTCAAAATAATGTTTGTACTGTGACTTTTTTAAAAGCTGAGAACTTATTTTTTAAAATGCATATTATTCATTGTTTGTGAAAGTTACAGCATTTTTATTTAAGGAAAATTACGTTGATTTTCAAAACTCAGTATCATTTTATAATACTGTAAAAATTTTTTAATTAGTTTCAGTAAAAATTATTTATTGCTATGTCTCTTGTCTCTTTCTTTAAGCCAATTTACATAAAATTTTAAGGCTGGTCTAGTTTTAGTTACGTAACAAAAAATACCATGTACTAAATATAGGCTAGTACACAGAATTGAAATACATATTCTAATAATACATTTGACCAAAAAGGTATAAAAATATATTTGTTTCCACAAACTTCTAATTTAAATTCACTTTATAATTTTATAAGATTAGTTGCACTGATGAAAAATTGTGGTTGTTTTTTCAATTATAATTAAATTTAAATTAAAATGTTGACAAATAATCTAAAATTTACTGGTTTGTCAACATTTCTCTGCTTCTAATACTTATGTAGTAGAAATTATTAACAGTTTGATCATTATGAAAATCAATATGACTTCTAAATTAAAAGTGAGTATATTTAAAGTAATAAAATATATTATTTTTATTATTACAAGAATATTATATATTACAATTATTAATATTAGAAGAAATACAAATTACAATTACAAGAAATAATATACTAATTCGTGAAAATATTCATTTCTAAACTAATTTTTTAAGCTTTTAAATAAGATTTATCATAAATTAGATATATAGTTGAAGAGTTTTTGAAAGACGATTAAGAACCTTAAATTGTAATGTGAACAAACTCAATACTCATTTTTTCAACAGCTTATGACAAACTCATTTTTTTTCAACAGCTTATATAAAATAGAAAAACAGCAGAGAAAAATATCAGATTTGATTTTAAACATATTAAGAATATAGTGTTTTGCTAGTGTATCTAACATAAATATGATTATTAAAAATAAGAATTATTGATCAACGTTATACACTAATTAATATATAGTATAAAAGTAAGTGTACAATGTGCGTGCCGCTAAAAGTCAGAAACGAGTCCCGGTACGATCAAGGGAGTTATATGGTGTAGCAGTCCTCTATGCCCCCATCCATGAAGAAGATTCCCGTTTTTATCTGAAGGGCATGCTTTTGGAGATGAGAACCCAAACATTCTGGAATGTTCCGGAATAGTCTGAAACGTTCGGGAACATCCTAAATCATTGTGGAACATTCCAGAGCACTCTCGAATGTTCTGAAACATTGTGGGCCATTCGAAGCCTTTTCTGTATGGGTGGAGCTTCCCATTGGTAGGGGTATATAAAGCAAGATCCGTCGTGGGTTCGAACCTCGATACCAAGTTCGACATTCGAGCGTGAAGGGGCTTAATCCCCTCGCTTTCAATTTACTTACTGCTTTAACGCGTGACTTTGCTACAAGGTACTTGAGGAAAGGGGTTGGTACATGGATTCGATTCGGTGTACTGTAAAAAGTCCTAGCGTGCCTTGTGGCTTCTGCTATCTTTTTGTTTTTTGCGCTTATATTTTAGCATAATGGCAGAAAAGCTATTTGAATTTTCTCAGCTCCATCATCTCCGACTTAGAGGCCAGAGGTGACGAAGTTACTGCATCACAACGAGAGGAACTAAGAGTTTCTCTACGCCATCAGAGATGCTATTAATGGATTACTTCTTCAAAGAAATAAACATATGAATGCTGATTATTTTCCTGTTCAAGCTAGTAAAGACAAATGTGAACCTGCAAAACCTACTATTTCTGAAGATTTCCCGGAACTACCTAATGCTCGACAAGCTCAAAGCCCAGCCCGCTCCGATGAAGGCATAATCAAGTATAAGGCTCTTGACGAGAGCTCGGATTCTGATGGCAGCCCCGGAAGCAATTTCACTAAAAGAACAAGAAAACCATTCTGAAAATGCGTGACTCCTAACACAACGAATACTGCTGAATCCTAGGATAATAAATTTCCTAATCCAGCATCCCAGCAAAGCGAAAATGAATTAGTGGAAATAGCACTAAGTCACGACGACGAGCAGCCTTCAAGCTGAGCCAATCAAAGAATGAGAAAGAAAACCCCCGACGATCACGGTAAAAGAGGAGAAAACATAACTTCTCGCATATTAAGAAATTACTGAATATCTCTCATATCAAGAAATTACATAATCCCACTTGTGTAAGCGATTATTATGGACAATTAACCCAGGGAGATTTTAAAATTCAAGCAAAAGTACCATCTACTTATCGTCAAATCGTTAGTCTTTACAGATGAAGCAATCCTTTTTCACTGCTACGAATTACCCGAGAGCAAGAACATCAAAATGGTAATACGCAGTCTACCCTTATATTTCGAGACTGGAGAAACTGCTGAGGGTCTGAAACTAAAACGATATGACGTTCTACGTGTCAACCAGCTTAAATGTCGCAGAGATGGGAAAATTCACAACCTCCCTCTATTTCTTATTACTTTAGAAAGATGTGAAAAAAAACAAAGAAATTCGTCAGGAGTGTTTCATTCTAGGAATGAAAATCATTATAGAAAATTACAAAGGCAGAGCTGGACACTTGCAGTGTTATCGCTGCCAAAGATTCCATCACGCCCAAACTAACTGCCGTCATGATCGTAAATGTGGTGGTGATCATAATTCCTACATGTGCACTAAGGACAAAAACACTTCCCCGAAGTGTGCAAACTCCTTAAATGAAGGACACACCGCAAACTACCGCGGCTGATAAGTTTCCTAAGCCCAAAACTAGCCCACCTGTTAAATAGTACAGTGATGGATTTGTGACAAACAGATCATACTTCAGGATTGACATCAGGACTTGCACTAAAATCGATTAATGAAGCGAAACAATTTCTGAATGAACTTAAAATGTTTCTCACTCTTATCAAGGATTCTGTGTTACCTGTTCTTTTTAAACAAATTTTAACTCAAAGTTAAACTGAATCTCAAAACTGTGCTGCCGAGAACTCTATTCATGGAGAGAGATCTCGTTTACACTTTTTTCCGTTTACACCAATTGCTTTCGCAGTGTGGAATGCTAACCGGCTCCACAACCGTATCCATGAACTCTTAACTTTTTACATACACATGATATAGATGTTGGGATAATTACGGAAACACGTGCACAGGCATACCACCGTCTTCTCATTCCAAATTATCGCTCATATAGATGCGATCGTACAAGTCACCGCAGTGGCGGTGTTGTGATATATGTCAAACGAAGCTACCAGCCCTGTCTCCAGACAACTAATAGGAATAGAAATATGAAATGGAAATGCTTTGGATTGAATTGAATATTGCATAAAAAGATGCATGAATTTTTAGGTATTGGAATATAAAAATGAATTCATCAGGATAGGACTTTTGAGTTTGTGTGTTTTATTTGTGGTATGTGTAGTTTTGTTTCGTTATACCTTATAATAACCCTGTTTAATTATAATTTTATTTAGTTTTGTATGAATGAAAGTTAGAGAATTTTTATTGGCTTGCAACCATTTGCAATTGTATTTTTTTGGTTTGTTATGTTTTATTTTTTTAACTTTTTATGTTACTCGGGGCTCGGGCCTGGTTTTTCGGATGCTTATTTAAGAGTGTATGTTAAAAATTTATTTATATAGTTATTGTTTCATATAGTTCTGTTTTTGTGTGGGCACGGCCGGCTCTCTGGTTCCTTGTTTTTGTGTTAGACGGGCTTGCTCCTTTGATGGTCATATGGCCGACTTTCGTCGACTAGGGGGACTGGGGACTGTGCCCATTACTGACCAGCCCTGTCTCATTAACGCATGTAAAAATAACAGCAATGAAAAGATCACATTGCCCGTCACTTTCCCGTCTTGCAGGAATATTTATTTGTCCGGCTTTTATAACCCTCCAAATAGCAGACTTAGTGACTGTATTTTGGATGATCTCCTTCCTAGTGATTCCCCTGTCATTTTGACAGTAACACAAAGCATACTGCCTGGAATTGCCGACGCAGTAAGGCTAATGGCAAAATATTACATGACTACATCCTCAGTCACCCAGTTGTGATACATGCATCCATTAAATATACTTATCACCCAGATAGACTGGATATTTTCCTATCTACAATGACTATTCCTATCATGCTTAATATGAAACACGAGATATCTAATCACCTGCCTGTAATCGCAACACTCGGAATTTCCAATCCGGAAATTGTTAAAACAAGAACTGTTACAGATTGGTGTCTCTTTGAAAACCTAATGAAAAATCGTATTGGGTACTTTGAAAATTTGAATAATGTGAAAGGAATTGACTCTGCTATTAATTCGCTTACCTCTCATATTCTGTCTACTTCCGAAGAAGCCATTGATAAAATTCCTATCGAGGACAATTTGTGTCGCCTTCCTAAACATATTACAGATTTGATGAAACAACGCAACAGATCAAGGAAAACCTATCATGTTACTTGAGACCCCAACATCAAAAGAAAATATAACAAACGTATTAGCAAAGCTGTTAAACAATATAAAGAAGAACTCTGGTCGGGCAAAATGCTAAATTTTAATGTGAACGATGCATCCTTCTGGATTTCTGGAATTAAAAATTTAAAAACTAAATTCTCAAGCAATCGACCACTTCATTATAATAATTCTATTGCCACAACCAATCAGGATAAAGCCGACATGTTTGCGTCTCACCTCCAAAGTCAATTCATGTCAATTCATCCAAAGTCAATTCATGTCAATTCATCCAAAGTCAATTCATGCCAAATGATTTGCTGCAAACCAAGATTTTGAAATGGGTACTCTAAAAGTTCGCGACTGGCTTAATGCTCCAGCTATTAATAATATTACAAATCTGACCACACCTGCAGAAGTTTTTGATATCATCAGGAAATTAAATCCTAAGAAAGCACCGAGAATTGACTCTATTACAAATAATACTTTCAAATACCTCCTGAGAAATATTGTGACCAAAATTACCAGCATCTTTAACGCCTGCATTACAAACTCATATTACCCAAGTCCTTTAAAAATTGCAAAGATAATCATGATTCCCAAGCCAGAGAAAATTACAACCGGACGGTTTTCGTCCTATCAGCCTTCTACCAGGTTTAAGTAATGAAAGAATTTTACTTGCAAGAATGAAGTCTTACCTCAAATTATTGCCACCTGAGCAGTTCGGATTCAGAGCTCA